TGTTAACGTGCCCGCCGCCGGCAAAAAGTTTTTGTATATATGATTTACCGCTCTATGTGTCACTCTGGTTTAAAATTTTTTGTACTCTTTCATAAAAAGACAAGGATAAAAAAAGAAGGGGCTGTCTACCTTGTGCCCGGTTGATTGAGACAACACCATCAACCGGTTGATTTGCCCCACTCAAACAACCGGTTGAGCCAATTCATTCAATCAACCGAAATTTAAAAGAGGCCAAATTCACTTCACTTGGCCTATTATATTAGGCCAAATCAAATATAATAACAAGGAAGCAAAGCCAGTTCAGATTAAAGCAACTGATACAGATAGAAACCAATATCAAATGAGGAAAAAAATACAAAAATTGAATTCCATATTCTTTCACAACCAAATCATTAGACAAATTGAATAAAACAATACAGCATTCAATCAGAGAGAAACTTACACCAAAGCAGTACAAAACTTACACCAACCAGTTATACAAATTATAGTTGAAAATACAATATAAATTATGGACATTTCAAGTGTAAAATAAATTACAGAGCAATGTAAAGAAGCTAAATAGATTAGCAAGTATAGCTATGGCCAGCAAGAACAAGCACCAGGAAACTCCAAAAACCAACTCAAAAAAGGACTTTGAGATAATTCAAATAATCAAATGGACAAATGTACAGGCAAAAATATCCAATTTTTTTCTATGGTAGCCATATTGCAAATAAAAAGGTGGCTACTAATTCAGAAATGAAAAATAAACAAATTAACAAAATTAGAAATTCTTAATGAGAACAAACCTTGCAAAAACAACATCACTCTAATCCAACTTACATCAACCTGCCATTAAATTTACAGTGAATATTAGAAGTAAATATAAAAGGAAGAGGGTGTAAGTACATGATCTATAATCCAACAAACTCATTAAAACATTAAACTACAAGACCTTGACAACGTTTTGATTTCTCATTCTTCCCTCTAGTGAATGCCTTTATATGCTCCAGCAACCAATCCAACATAAAACCACACCAATTATATTCCTTGATCTGATCAATATCTTCAAAAACACCAAAATACTTGGGACTTGGAACAGTATTGGTATTCGGACATAAAAAGCTACTCAAAGCAACTATCATGAAGCAAATGAACATATCCTCATCTGGTAAATCATCCTTACTTGATTAACTTGTCGTTGAAAAAGCGAAACAGAAGGTATTCTATCCTTTCCAAACTTTGATAAGACAGCATCTCTACCAAAGACTTGAATCGGATGGGAAACACACCGCTTCCTTTCGGGAGATCAAGAACCAAATGAGCAGATTCTTCAAGAAGAGAAATAACCTTTCCATCACGGATAACGTCACCGATTTCGAATCAACTAGACGCGCAAACCCGAGTTAGCAAACTTATTCGGCATTTAAACACTTGTTGAACTTCAACAAAGATCCAAAACCATAACTCTCAATGATAGCCTTCTTCTCAGGGGATAGAGCAGATATCACATTCATAAAAGCTGTGGCAGAAAACCTAGTGAAGCCATCCTTAGTCTTCTTTTCAATTTTCTTCTTCTTTGACTGAAATGATTTACAATATTTCAGGAAAACTTCAAAAGAAAAATTATTAAAATGTGACTAATCCATCTACATCTTTTATATTTTTGAATGAATGAAAAACACACTAATTAATAAAATCATGTCACCGAAAAACCAGCACTAAACTACGAGTAAAACGAAAAGATCACATCGAGACATTAACAAAGAGCAACTTAAATACATGTGGAAAAATAAGGACACATAACCTTATGTCTCATAGCCATCTATAACCTTTTCTTCAAAACCTTAATCTTCTTATACTGAAAGGAAGAAAATTAAAATGAAAAAAATGAGAAAAGAACAAAGGAAAAGAAAGAAAAAGATTTGAAAAAAACAACATACATCTTCTAGGCACTTCTCATAGAGCTGGCGATCAAAACTTGAGGTGTCACTGGAAAAATCATTCTACAAATTCAAACTAATATTAAGCAAACAATAGGAAAAAATACCAAAGTAAAAAAAGATAACTAGTTAGTCTAACAACCTGAGTTTCTGATAATGATGCATAGGAATCATAGTCTGTAAAAGGTAACTGAGAACACTGGACATCTTCAGAGCCACCAATGTCTGAATCACCAGAGTCTGACAAATCAATTACACCACCAGGTCTTTTACGAACCATCTAAAAAACAAGAAACAAACAAAGAGAATTTATAAGAAGAAATATGGCAGATACTTCTCCAATGCTAATCAAAATTTGGTCTCACCATGAGGTACTGTTATTACTAACTTACACCACTCTGTCTAAGAATTTACACTAAAATGATTTGTGTAAATATAGTAACAAGATACTGTCATAAAAAATAAAAATACAATACATGTTTACTACACAGGAGAGGAAGCAAGAAATGAGGGATAAAAAAAAGAAATGGTAAATCTAAGGGCTATGCAAATGCAGAGAGCCATCGAGAATTTAGAAGGGAACAAAAAAACAATAATGCAGCAAGGGCCACAACTAAATCTGCATACAACTCACGCTAATCGCATCAGCTAACCTCACATACCTTCCCTCCCTTACTCACCACCACAAACCACATCATCTCCATTTAATACCACACCATCCTATCCTCTTCCCTTCCTGCGCCTCCCTCATATATATGCATCTCTTCATGCAGAGAAGCACTGCCATATGACCACAACACATGCTGAACATGAAGATAAATTGCCTCCTACCTTGTCTTGCTCCTCCTGGAAACTAATAACAGATCAGCTAGCTAGCTACACCATCTGCATTGCAGTATACGAGCAGTAGGATCTTCGTTGCTATGTTACAAGGATCTAGCTAGAAAATAGCAACTAGAACATACATACATGGTTGCCTTGCCTCCTCAACCCCTTAAATTTCTTTCTGCGAAGAAAAAAAGACATGCCACAAAAGGCGAAACATGAACCCAAGGCAAAACACCTACGAACCAGTTAGGATTGCTACCGCACAAACAGGCCTAGAACAAAAATCATAAAGATGTAATCCTAGGTCCACTTGCAAAATGTGAGAACAAAAATAAACAGAAATCAGAAGCAAATATCAGTTAACTTGTTGAACTACATCATTTAACTGGACAATGATCCTGATCTACTGCTACAGTAGGCTCCGTTGTCGTCTGAGTGCCTAGGCTACCGAAGATAGGCTAACAAAACAAGCTGAAATGGATGGATTGCCAGACAACTATACAACGGCAGCAGCATCAAACTCAACCACGCAGAAGACACTTAACAAAGCTGCTAGATAGCAAGTACTGAGTACTACATGCTTCCCTCTGCTTCGACACAAAGTAATAAAGTATTCAAATGAGAACGAAGCTGGAGCTAGCAACTACTAGGTACGTATGATGACACACAGCAATTAAACAAGACAAAAATCGCCTAAACCATTGTACATGAAACAACAGGGGATGAACCACCAACCCCCATCCCCTACCACCAACAGAGCCACCACAAAAATCGCCAGATCCACTATAACTCGGACGAAATCAAACAATTACACTCTACATGAAAACAATAGGGGATGAACTAGCAACCCCATCCCCAACCACCAACAGAGCCACCACAAAATCCCCAGATCCACTATAACTCGAACGAAATCAAACAATTGCAGGGTGCAGCAGCCCAGGCGGAATCCACAATTCACTCTATCTCGAACCACAACAGATACAAACACGCATCCACCACCACATACCTCGACGAGGAGCACAGACGAGGAGCAGACCTTGAGAAACACTAGAATCGCCAATCGACGAAAGCACCAGGGACACCACGAGCCTGACGAACAGAGGACCAAAAACACAAACCAAAATACTCCATCAGCATCAGATGAACCCTAACAACATGGTTTTACATGAAGAACACACAAATCAGAAGAGGGACGAACTGGCGAACCTAGAGAACCCTAGAATCGCCGTCGACGACGACAACGGCTACGCCGCGGGGGAGACAAGTAGAAGAAATGAAATGAATGGGGAACACCTAAAACGGACAGGGACACCCCTGCAATAACGGGCGCGATTACAAAAAAAATAAAAGAAAGCGCCGACATATCAGACCCACATGGCAGACAAAGAATACAAAGACAAAGAAATAGAACCAGGCTGTCTCATAACGGACCGCACATGCCAAATCGAACGATCAAAAAAAGCCGGTTGAGACAAACATCCCAATCAACCGGTTGACAAATAGACTTTCTCAAAAAGAACACTTTGTTTTCCGCTGTTCCACTTGCCGTCACCAGCTGACATTCATATTCTCCTATCTGTGCATTCATATGATCATGTCCTAATTCCTAAATACCACTGTCGTCCATCAAATCCGCAAGCCCAGAATTCCCTCCATCCTGTGAGTCACGTACTCACGCGCCACCTGCTAGTGCTACCATTGCCAGTTTCTCATTCCCTACATACCCAACACAAAAAGGTTAGCAAGATCTGGTGAAAAGAAAAACCGAACACGCAGTGGCGTCTTTCGGTAAACCATACGTGTGCAGGAGTGAAATGAAACAATCTCCTCTCAATCTTTCCGTGGACGACGGTTTTACGAGCACAGACCCAAAACTTACTGAAATGTGAATTGTAACGGCATGCCACCTGATTATACTCATCATCGCTAGCACTAATGTACCAAGGCAGGACTAGCCAACAGAACGGCTCCACAGGCAGAAGCACAAGTAAGAGGCGGTCGCCATCCCCACCCCGCCAAATATTAACCAACCCACCCTCACTAATCGCTATCAACCCGGCCGTTTTATTCCGCTCCGCCCCGCTCCCCTTCCCCGCGTCTCCACACTCTGCAGTCTGCACCGCCACCGTCAACTTCAGCTGAACGCGCTGAGCTGAGTCCTCCAACCTTACTTACACACGCCATCTCATCGCCGGATCATCATCCTACAATCCCGCCACCTCTCCCCGCCCGGCCGGCCGGTCTCTCGCCATGGCCACGGCGCACAGCAGGCTCTTCCTCGTCGAGGCCTTGCTCTTCACGGCGCTGCTGCTCCTCCCGGCGCGCCCTTCCGCCGCAGACGGCAGCACGTACCCGGCCGACTGCCCGTACCCGTGCCTGCCTCCACCAACTGCGCCCGCCGTCACCACCAACTGCCCGCCGCCGCCAGCGCCGTCCTCCTACAACACGCCGCCGTCGTCCTCCTGGAGCTACCCGCCGCCGCCGCCCGGGGGCTACATTCCATACTTCCAGCCTCCTCCGGCGGGAGGCGGTGGCGGGGGTGGGGGGTACGGCTACCCGGCGCCGCCACCGCCCAACCCCATCCTGCCGTGGTACCCCTGGTACTACAAGACGCCGCCGTCGTCCGCGGCGGCCAGGGGGATCAGTTTTAGTGTTGTTGGCGGCTTGTTGGCCGCCGTGCTAGCTGCTGCTGGTCTGCTGATCATGCCTTAGCCGCAGGTAGCTAGCACTAGCACCTGTTCGTTTTGCTTCTTCGATCTTCTCCTCCCTCAGGTTCTTTTTTTTTTCTTTTGTTAATTTATTCCACAGGATTATATTCAGAAATATATATCAGCTACATATTGCTAGCTAGTTTCTTGATTGCGAATCAACTTTGAGTAGTGGAGCAACTATCATCGCTAGCTAGCTCTTGATGAGAGAGAGAGAGAGAGAGAGAGAGAGAGAGAGCATCATATCATATATATGTGCATGGCCATGGCTAGTGACTACAAGAATATTTGCTTTTTTCTCGGTGCCTCTCCTTTCCGTTTTATATATTTGTAGTACTAGTTCTTCCTGTCAACTTTTGTGTATAAACAACAGTACTGCGCATTGCGATTGGCGTCAATTAATTAATTAGTTTGCTTAAAATGTTCGATATACTAATGAGCTATCAGCAAAGAAATTGCAACACTGACGACCCATGCACGCACGCTGGAACGTACTGTACCTGCCATGAATTTAGAGACCCGACAATGTACCACGCTGCAAATAAAATTCGCATCAAGTAGCTGCTTTGCACAGTATAACATGATTACAATCTTAATGAATTTGTGGGCAGTGCGTAGCAACCGTTGTCGGTAAGTAAAATCGAGCCGTCCAGCAAGCTTTATTTAGCCTAGAAGCTAGACATATACTTACATAGGAGCTCAAAAGAAGGAAAAGATTCAGAACCTAATAACATAGATGGGCGAGCACCGGGCTCTCAAATCGCTGTCGCCATGCATGGATACTTACGGAGAAGGTTTTCCGAGCATGGAGCAGTGTTGTGTTGGTGATGGATCAAGAAACGACCAGTGGGAATTAATGGGCGACGGGAAGTGGAAACTAGAGAAAGAAAGCTGAAGCTAGAAATGCAAGCAAAGTAGAGACGACGGAAGTTGGTGAGTGGTGACGAAGGCGCGCGGAGGAGCGTAGTTTCCATTTCCATGTTGGGCTCTGATCTGTCCGCGTCGCCATCGAAAGCTGGCCTGATCAGCTATAGCTAGAGCAACGTATGTACGTGCGTTCGCACATGGAGCTACGTTGTGGACAGCTTGCACGCATGGAGGCTTGAGGAGGTGAGGTAGGAGCAGCTAGTAGAGGACATCTGGACCGAGTGAGTAGGAGCGTATGTGCATCAGTGCATGGCATGACCTGCGGATGACAGTACTGGGGTTTGGCTTGTAAGGCGATGGATCAATGTGTATCAACAGAGTTGGTGGCGTTCATCGATCCTTCCATCGTTGGGGGGTGTAGTATCAGATGGTCAGAGTGGGGCTTGCCTTTGCAGCGACGGAATTGCGTTCGTTGTTGGCTTGCTGATACGCAGTAGTATGCACATGCCGAACGCACCCAAGTCGTCGTGCTTGTGCGTTGTCATTCTGCCTCCAATCATTGACGCACCCTATAGTCTATATAGTACATGGGCACATAGGCCTCGTTTAGATCGTAACTTTTTTCAACCCGATAAATAGTACTATTTTTGTTTTATTTGGCAAATATTGTCCAATCGTGGACCAACTAGGTTCAAAAGATTCATCTCGTGATTTCCAACTAAACTGTGTAATTAGTTATTTTTTTACCTACATTTAATACTCCATGCAATCGGCTAAAAATTGATGTAATGGAGAGAGAGTGAAAAAACTTAGAATTTTGAGGTTATCTAAACAAGGCCATAGTAGTAGTAGTAGTGGTGGTAATTTTACTGCACGAGCGGTGTGGTTGCAGATGGATACTGCTACATACGTGCTTCGTGAAAGTCTCATTTGGCCGGCCGGCTTGCAAATTAAACTCCTGCTAGCTAGATCGACTCCCTGCACGTACAACAGCCAAGAGTCGTCAGAGGATGCATCATGCATGCAAGAAAGAAGCATGGTCTCACAAGCAAAGCATCGTATGTTAGACTTCTGATCAGTAGCAGCCGCCGGCCCGGCCCGGTGCTTTCTGATCATCAGCTCGTGTCCGCGTTGGACGGCATCAGTTCAGACCAGATGCTCGCCGGGGACGACTGATAAAGGCCGTGGAATTAAAAGTTGCCCGATCGGTCGCTTAGGTTCCTTGGCGATTCCGTTAGCGGCGTGCAGGTTGCCGCGAAGTTTCCCGCCGAACTGCAGCAGCCTCCACTTCACACCACCGGTGGTGACTTGTGAGGGGAGAAAGGGGAGCAACGGACGAACAAAGCGCGCGCGGGCGGCCCCTGCCGGAGGAAAGCGGGAGAGAAAGAACACAAGGAATAAAGCCTATTTTTACAGGAAAAGGGGCCTCGATCGATCGCCTCTTTCAAAAATGTTAGGTGGCGTGGCGCCAAAAGGGCTCTCCCCTGCGATTTGCAAGAGCGTGCCAGCTGCCAACATGGCGAAAAACGGGCGGTTTTCCTTGGGATGTTTACTAAAAAGATTGGTGGTGCCATGGCATGATTGGATTCGCTTCCCTTCCCCGGTTGTGTACAAAAAAATCAAGGGGGTCTCTTTTCTCAGTTCTCATGATAACGAGCGCATTTTGTAGATACTGCTTATATTATAGCTTGCTGTACGTACTGTGCGTGGATGATTGATCTTCCAAATAGCCATGATTAGCGCATGAAGTTTAGGGCGCCAGCAAGTAAACTCGAGGCCTCCGAGTCTGGTTTAGTGGTTTCGAAGAGGAGTCCCAGAAGAAATCATCTCATGACAATCATGTGCGCGTCGATCTCCCAGTGCTGACTGACTGGTGAGGCACGGAGAATGATGGACGGGTGCATGGGGGAGGAATGGAATGGAAGCAGCGACACACGTGTCGATGCGTTCTCCTCGCCAGATCCGAGGGCCGCCTGAGGCCTGCAACCTAGACTCTGCGCACCTCGAGGCCACCCCGCAGAGGAACCTGCCGAGCGCCGACCGCGAAATCTGGCACCTGCATCGCCGCACATTCCCCCGGCTCGGCATGGATGTGCATGCAGACAAGAGGAGTTCGGTGGCCTGAATGCACAAGCCAACGTGGTCGAGTCGACTCCGGGCAAGCAGCTATTCTCTCTCGAATAGTCCAACCGCATGCCCACCTACAGCGAGCCACCTCGGGCGATTTACATCAAGGCCAAGCTCTATGCATGCACCTCGGTGATCATGGCTGAGGCCGCGAGCCTGGCCCTTGCTCTTGCTTCAGCAATCATTGACAGGCTCAACACCACAGGTGTCAACTACTTGTCGGATTGCCAACAGTTGGTTCACTTCCTCAACAGCGATGATCTCTCCAACCCTCCGGACCGGAGAATCAAGCGCTTCACACAAACTTTTTCCAACCATTCAACAAGCAGGTCATCCAAGGTTTTCAAGGTCCATAGGCGACTCAACACCACTGCTGATGCTTTAGCACTCCAAGCTGCAGAAGACTCTATCACCCACAACTACAACTTCGAAGTTTCCTGCTCCTTTCAGCATCATGTTTTCCAATGCAACTTGCTACAAGCTCTACAACATGTAGGCTTGCTTGATGTAACTATCATTGCAGCGCGTTGCTGCTAATTATAATAAAGCTGTTTCTTGTCAAAAAAAAAACGCAGCGAGTTTCCTTGCTTCACGAGGCCAGCCTTCTTCAGTACGTCAGTCAATGCAGCGATGTGGCAGCAGTATATTGCTGCACTGACCTTTGCCCACGATGCAAGGCACCATTTTCTGGAGCTGGTTTCACGAGGCCAGCCTCGTGCTCGAGCGCTAGCGTTGGTATGCTCGTAAAAACTTGCTACAGCAGCAAGCCAACTAGCACCACCAAATTTCGTTCAAGGACTTGCGCCAAGATCAACCAAACTAACAAGACAACGGGCTTTCTCTACAACCAAATCCCACCAAACTGATGGATGGAACCAGACGAAAACACACACTATAGTTCTGTATTCCCTCAGTTCCAAATTACAAAGCCTCTGACTTCTCTAGATACATATACTTAGTACAATCTACGCAGGCATAATGTACATTAGATACATGACAGAAGTTATGTACCTAAAAACCAGAGTGACTGATAAATTAGAACCGACGAAGCGTATGACACGAATAAGGTGGACAGGCTCACATATGAACAGAACAATAGCAAAGCCAACAGCAAAGGCAAAGCACACCATATCTCATCTCAGAAAAAGTTTTTTTTTCACACGCTCGGGGTTTGTTTGGGAAGAAGGGCGTGGTGTGGCATCCCTTTCAATTTTGAAGGAGATGGCTTTTTACCTTTTCTAATAAGCTCAAGAAACCAATTACCAGAAATGCAAACACACAGTGCTGGTGCCACGCTGTCACGGGCATCAGATCAGGAAGTTTCCCAAAGTGGCATAGCATAGCAGCCAACTGAAGAGTAAAGACTGCCTCAAAGGCTGCTACTACGCGTTGTCTTCTCTGTCATGCGAATCAACACTAGCTTGTCCCAAGGAATATGCCTTTACACTCCAAATGAGAATTCATCCTACACAACCATGTGTGTTCCAAAGAAAAAGGTTAAACAAGCAAAAGTTTCAAGCATCTGTCACAAACTTTTTTTGTTTCTAAACACCAGAGCAACATTTTAAGGTAACATGAAAGTTGGCGAAAAACTAGCTGATAGATGGATGACAAATAGGATCCTCTTGACCTATCAAAATCTTCCTGGAATGCCATGTACACAAGGTAAAAAGAAATAAATCAGAGGCCACAGTGTAAACCAAGCCAATGAAAAGGTTAGCAGCTTTCTCAAACACCACATGGCTAGATTTGTGATGACTGTAACATAGGGGCCATTGACGACAAATGATATGATATGATATGATATGTCACTAAGTGCATAGGCTGAGAATATATCATAAGCAAAAAGTCATGCATATACTTCAGATATCTATTATGGTTGGCTAAAACATTCAGAATGTGCTCTGTTTGTGCAAATCTTGCCAAAGTTTAGCACCTTAGCTAACACTCATTTGGATGGTTAACAAATTTTTTGAACCCATGCCTCCTTTGTTTGTTAGTCGTATCACAATCACTCGCCAATCCTTGGCAAACCTATTTAAACCTCACATCTTCAACATGTAAATGGACCAAACAATGAACATTCAAATTTTACAAGACACAAACCAGATAAAGTTACTTAAAAAGATATTAACTGAACAGCTAAGCATGACATTATTCAGGTTGAAGTACATACACAAAGCTATCAATACCTGATAAGGAGCAACTTACAAATACTTTCGCCAACACATTTATTGTACAATGAACTGGGTTCTGTAAGTTTCAGACAACCTAGCTGAATGGAAATGTTTTTCTATTTAACAGCCCTGGTTGGCAGGTCTCGAGTAATGATTGTATTGATTGGTGATATGATTCACAAAATAAACGTAGAACAAATTATTTCACTCTCGTGCTATCCCAAATTTCAGAAGCAGTTAAGTCAAAGGATGATTTAATTTGATGCACAAGAAGCAGACAATCTTAATCACATAAGTTGCATTCATCAAAGGGAGCAATTGCACAGACCATTAACAAGCAAATACTTAGTCAAAAGGAATTTAGAAGATCAGCCATAGTGAGATAACACCTGAATGCTCAACAAGCGCAAAATCAATAGTAGTCACAGATGGGCGATACAGGGAGGATTCTACCTCAGAAACTGCAACATCTTCTCTGAGGAGCAGTGAGAACTGAGAACCAATAGGGAGCAAATAATGTCAAAGTAATGAGATGTTAAGTACTGTGGCGGGCGTACCTATAATACGCTATGCTGTACTGAATTGAACTGCTTTGTCTCTATGAAATGAAGCGGGCAAAAACCTTTTACTCTAAAAAACAGCTGAATGGAGGATTTTTTGCTTGAGCCTCGGATCAGTTCATAATTAAGACGACTCATTATTTCCTACAAAATCCAAGAGACTAGCTGCTACCTGACATATTTGGATCTGGATGATTGAATCATAAATAGATGTTAGAATTTCACAACAATTAAGCAAGCATATCACAATATATACAATGTTAGCAGCTATAGGATCCTTACAATGAAAACAGAAAACATCGGTTTCCAACCAAAACATGTACTATTATACTTCAATATTCAATACTGCAACACATATCTCATCACCGCAATGCAACAATACAGTCAAAATTTCCGCACATCAGCTTCAGATCTAAAAAAAGGTAAATAGATTCAAGAGAACAAGATTAATCTCTCACTTCTCCAGCTGCAACCTACGCAGCAAGTCCAGGATTGGCCCAGAAGACTCCGCTTCGGCAGCGAGCTCCCTCACCATCAACTCCGCAGCCCTCAAGTCCTCCCTCACATCAGCATTCAACACAAGGTGGGAGAAATGATTATCCAGCAGCACTCCCAGCGCCCTAGCCACTGCTCCAAACGATGGCACGCTGTCACACTGCTCCAATCCGAGGTTTTCCGCAGCCTCCGGGCAGGTGTGCGCTTCTGAGAACCTCCGGTACTTCCCAATCCACTTGTTGAGATATCTCATCAGCCTGACTACCTCCCCGCCATCGAGTTCAGCCACAGCCGCTCCAAGCACCACGGAATCCACATTCCCTGATGCAAATAGGTAATGCAGGCACACCTCCGGGGAGGTGAACCCGTCGTGCCCCATCATGAGCAGCAGCGCCGCCCGCCTCGCCGCAGCGTCGACTTTCTCCTTCTTCCCGGCGCTCTTCTCCCGACACCTGTTGACAGCGAGCACAGCGGCGTCCTTCCACCGGCCCTTGACGTCCATCATGGCGTCGTAGGCCTTCTCGGAGGCCGGCGTGAGGAAGCAGCGGAGCACGGCGAGGATCTCGGAGGAGCGGATGTCGGCGGCCTGGCGGAGCAAGGCGCAGACAAGATCGACCCGGTCGTTGTCGCAGAGCGAGGAGATGAGTTCCGGTGGCGGGTGTGGGAGGAGGCGGGATTCCGCGAGAGCAAGGAGGATGTCGTGCCCGGCGAGGCTTGCCGCCTTGGAGGCCACAAGGGAAGCGATTGCGGCGGAGAAGTAAGGGGCGACGGCGCGGATGGCGGCGGGAAGGGCCGCCGGCGGGGTTGGGAGTGCGAGGGATTGGGACAGAGTGGAGATGAAGTTGGTGAGAAGGAGGCGGAGGCGCGGGAGGGAGGAGCAGGAGTCGAGGGAGGCTGCGAGGTAGGAGGCGGCGGTGGCGAGGGTGGGGTCGGCGGGGGAGAGCGACCAGGCGGAGGGCGGGATTGGGGTGGGGAGCGCGGAGGATGTCGGCGGCGGCGGCGCGGCACCCGGGGTGAGCACGATAGGGTGAGCCTTCTCGCTGGAGCCGGGGAGGGAGCCGGCGGCGGGGTTGGTGATGGCTGCAAGGAGAGTCATCTTGCCGGCGCCGGCGAGAGCGGGGACCGGTCGAGAAGGGGTTAGGGTTTTGGGGGAAAGAAGAGGAGAGGAATGGGGTGGGGACGTGTGGGACTGTGGGGTGGGATTTGGAGAGAAAAGGCTGAAAGGCGACGGGTGGGCCTCGGCTGGTTGACGTGACGAGCCGTGCGGCTGATATGGGCCTCCCACTTTTACCGTGTTGTGCTGTTATGGGCTTCTTCTCACTTTGGCAGCCCTAGCAACTTATGGGCTTGTACCCTCACGATCCAATCCAGTCCGTGTGGATCTAGAGAAGAGTATCAATATTCATAAGGAAATGTTATATGCTCCTAAAAAAAATAAGGAAATGTTATAAAAAAATATTCATAAGGAAAAATAGGATGGTCCAGAAAAAGATCGCTGCAGCCCACGTCCACAGTCACGGCCCATGTCGCACGCAGGAAACTGTGTTTCATACAGATGTTTCATCTAGATGTTGCAAAAGTAGATATGTGATGTTGCATATGTTGCAATGACAATATACGCATGTTGCAAAGCATATGTTTCGAGTGTTTTAGCTATGTTTCAAGTGTGTGGTCCGGATGTTACAGAAGTAGATATGGACATTGCATAACAAGCATGTTGCAAGCGTTTTTAAGTGTTTCACGTGTTTCATACGTATGTTGCAAATGTTTCATCTGAATGTTGCATATGTTTTACAATGGCTACACACATGTTTTCAAGTGTTTCACGTGTTTTTGCAAGTGTTTCAGACGTATGTTGCAAGTGCTTCATTTGGATGTTACAAAAGTAGATCTGGTGTTACATATGTTGCAATGTGACCCACACCGCCATACGATCATCTCTTTACTTCTTTGGGCGCCTGTGCATGCGCTGCGGGAGAGAAGGAGGATGGCGTAAAGGCGTAGGCGGCGGTCCCTAGGCGCTTGTGGGAAGTAGGAGAGCGGCACCGTAGGTCTGGAGGCTGGAGGGGAGCGGCGACGCAAGCAAAGAGGAAGCAGGAAAGCGGGGGCGGCGCGGGGCGGTCCCCACAGTGTGCGTGCAGAGAGGCGCTAAGCGTGACGCAGCAGATGGCGTGGTCGTCCGGACACGCACGTCCGTCCGAATGTCCGGACGCTAGCACTGTTGTATTCTTTTTATTTTTACATGGTATATACTACTACAATCCATTATGAAATTTATAATACTCCGTATATTGCGTGAGTGTATTTTGGAAATTTGGATATTGTTGTTCCGTGGTGTGTTTTGGATTGCTCATATACTATCCATGAGATGCTGACTTTGGGACGTTGCATGTTAGATTGTTCTGATGATTTTCATTACATGTTCCACGTGTGTTTTGGATGTGTCGCATATTATTCACGAGATATTTCTTATGAATTATGACATCTTGTGAATAGTGCAGGTACAATCCAAATTACGCCACGTATTGTTGAAGCGAAAAACTACTCCAATTTTCTTCAGTTTCAGTCAAATGATGATGTCTTGGACAGAAGTGACTTTGGGTAATGCACAACGGAGAGTATCAGACTATCAGTTGTGTACTTGTGCCGCGCGGATTGTTGATTGGTTTGACTCATTGACTGTTACAGCAAGCAAGGGGGTGCCACCTGTCACGAGTCCACCACCACGATGCCGGCTAGTAGTGCGACGACACAAGTGCTCCAACGGCGGGCGGCGTGGTGGTTCTGGGCGCCACCGCTCTGGGCTTGGTGCCGCAGAGGAAGGCGTCGGAGCCCCTGACGAGGCGGTTGCAGAGCGCGCCGAGCAGCATCCCGGCGACGGGCGCGACGAGGTAGATCCAGATGGAGGTGTACCTGCCGAGCACGATGGCCGGGCCCAGCGTCCTGATCGGGTTCATCGACCCTCCGGACACCGGCCTGGATGGATCGGATGCACAACTCGTACGTACTTAACACAGTGGCAGTGTGGCACTTGCACTTTCTGAAGAAACTGAAAGTTTATCTTTTATTTACCCGATGACGAGACCCAGGGTGCCGACGGCAGCTCCGATGGCCAGCCCTCCTGCTGTCTGATTCTGCATTAATTTGCCATGAGCCAAACGTTCAGATCATGAGCAGACGATGAACACAACAAGTTAGCTGAAACTGAAAGAAGGGATAATAAGGAGGACAGACGGAGCCTCTGGCAGCGATGGCGATGACGATCATGAGCACCGCGGAGGCGACCAACTCCAGCAGGAACGGCAGCCTTGTGTGGCCGCCGGCCATCATCGGGGCTGTCCCGTAGAAGTGCTCCTCCCGCGGCTCCATGGCGCCGTTCACCGACACGCAGGCGAGCAGCGAGCCGGCCAGCTGCGCCACCACGTAGAACGGCAGCTGCATGCGGGATTGCGGGGCGGGTAGGGAGCCGCACGAATAAATCAATCTCCGGCGATCGATGTCGATGCATGGATGGAGAAGGCCAATGTGTACCTTGGCCCAGGAGAGGTAGCCGTCTAGCCGAAGACGGTGAAGGTGAGGGTGACGGCGGGGTTGAAGTGCGCGGGGCCGAGCCAGCAGAGCACGAAGCCGACGGTGAGCGCGACGACGAGGCACACCATGGGGAACGTCAGCGTGCCGTGCATCTCCTGCATCAGCGCCGCCACCGCGGACCAGAACACCAGCAGGAACGACGCCACGCCCTCCACCATCAGCTACATACCCATGCAATGCATTCATCAAAGTTGAAAGGAGTAAAATGAGAGAGCTGTTAGACACGTTCGACGCCCTAGTTAATCTCTCAGCTCTATGGTCGTTAACTATATTATCAGCACAGTTCTAGTACTATTATCTACGCGAAACTGTACCTCCCGTACGAAATGCCCGATGGCTAGGCCTCTGCTCACACCATCTGCAGCGGCTGCCGGATCCTGGTCACGGCAAGACCGCTCTAAGTCCCACCTCAACGCACTCGCTGCCAGCGAAGTCTTTCTCTTCGTCCGTGAGCAATGAGCATGCGCGGATTTGGGCCACTGTTTATATTTTATACATGTAGAACAGAGTGGCAGGAGCAGCCGGCCCGTGCTTCTAGCACGAACGCACGGGCACACACTCTTGGCGTGCACAAACTGAAGCTTTGCGTGCTCCCCGAGTCCTTGTCCGGTCAAACCAGAAGCCGTTCATCGGTTCAGGACTTCAGGTAAAAAAAAAAAAAAAACTGCGCATGAGTCTGTCTGTGTCTGCCACCGACCACAGCTCATCACCTGCTTCTCCTTGAGCCTTGAGGCGGTGTTCAACTGTTGGTACGCAGTGCGATCTGATGGCGATGCAGTAATGGCAATTGACAACACATACACTCGCTTCTCCGTTGTTGATTATCGTTGCCGTTTTTATAAAGATAATTAATTAATATAATAAACCGCAGTAAAGTTGCTGTGACGATGCCGCAAGCAGAAAGCATTTCCGTCCGTCACGTCCGAAAGAGCTTTTGTTCCCTTTATTTTATAGTTGAGACTTGAGAGGTGCAGGTGATGCAGCAGCCTTCCTTCTGAAGCCGTCTGCGTGTCTGATTGCTGTTGGGCACTGCGAAAATGCAGTGCGAGCGGCTGAATTATATTCAGCGATGGATGCGGGATGCGGAACGACCGAACGAGGCGTGCAGAAGCACCGCGCGCGAAAGCTCCCACGCCCCCCACCCCACGTCCCTCGGACGTCCGATCAGCCGGTATGCCGGTGGATACTGGATAGGATTAACAAAGCTACACCACACCACATGATCAGGCCATGATGGAAAAGAGAGGCATCGATTGATCCATCTCCCTTTGGCACGGAAAGAAAAGATGCGATGGTCGGCTGGCGGTAGATGTATGCATCTCTCTCGCGCGTGTGGTCAGATTAGCCATGATCACCAGCCTCAAGAATGAAACAATGGTCATGATCACAGCCTAAAAAACACAAAAGGCCCCGTCAATCAGACAAGAACTTTCCACACACAGCGAAAACGATGTTTAAGTGTTGGCGCGCTTTTTGGAAGCTGGAAACTGCATTATTTGAATGGAACAGTGTGAAAGACGAAACTGAAAGAGATTTGCCTAGCCACCATACTATATATGAAGTTCCAGAATTTTGTTCAGCCAAGGAGCTAAAAGCATGAAACAAAGGTTAACCCGGTCAATTCCAAATGATTCGCGCATGGAGCACGAGACACGGCTCCCGACTTTCAGAATTGTTTACACAGGAAGCAAAGCACAGCCACAACCGAGAGAGTCTGAGAAAAAACGGTGAACCACCATGACAAGCAGCGTTTCCAGTCAGGAATGAGAGGGATCACAGTCAGGAACAGATCGGACCCGAAACAAGAAGGTTATTGATTTGCTTGTCACACATAAAGGAAATGCAATCAGTAAACAGAAAAAAGCGTAGTCTGAAACCAACAGAGGGACTTTTTCAGACATGAGGAATGGGATCCTTTGCTTTATATACAATTCTCTCCTCTCTCTTTTTGCTTCTTTTCTTTTGATACATGCACAAAACCTTGGGAAGGGAAAACTTACAACGACAAGAATAACCAGACCTCTTTTCTTGGTAACGAGACACAAGATTCGCGAGCGGAAGGGGGGAAATGGAGTTCTACGTCAAGAGCTTAAGTATACGAGGGTTTAGACCGGTCACTCGGTCCTTGTCAAGGCCTGGACCGGCATCACCAGGAATCTCATTATTTTGAGCTATCTTCTATTTTCCATTGCAAAATAAGGGGGGATCCGTCACCTGAGGCAGTTTCAAGCGAAGGAAGCCCGACGCTGCAGATGCCTCAGGCTCTGCTCCATGCTGACCTTCACCATCTCAGCAAGCATCTTCTTCGCTTTGCCGCCACGGTCTTCGCCGTCTATTTGGGAAGCGATGTTGGTCACGAGGTTCTCGAGCGTGTCTGCCTGCAGCTTTGATCTTGAGTACGGTGAGTTGCGCAACAGGTCAAGAAGAACATGAGCCTTCATTCGAGACTTGGGTGTGCCATGGACTGTAAGCTCAAGAAGACCAGGAATCGCCCCTTCATTCAGAATGAGGTCTCTGTACTTGCTGCGGTCACTCTCGCACATTGTCAGGAGCGCTCCCACAGCATGCTCTCTGCCCTGTAGGGAGCCTTCCTCAAGCACCTCTACGATGGCAAGCACTCCGCCTTCCTCAGATGTCAAGGCCACCCGACATTGATCAAACGCAAGCAATGACTCGAGAAGTGCACAGCATTTGTCGGCTGTTTTGGAGGACCTCTTGCCACCCTTCAGTAGCTCTATTAAAGGAGGAATTGGCTGAACAGAAAGGATGGCTTGAAGGTTGTCAGTGATTGTGGAGAGGTTGTAGAGAGCCATCACAGCATCATTCTTGGCTTGAGGATTCCCTTCTTTGAGGACTTTCACGAGTAGAGGAATTGCTCCTGAAGCACTTATGATAGGCTTATTGGTGGATGAGGCTGAAAGTGTAAGGAGAGCAGCAGTCGCATACTCCTGCAGATTTAGATCACTTGATTGCAAATAACCAAGCAGGGGCTCAAGTGCACCGGCATCCACTATCTTGGTTTTATTTCTGCATAGATGGAACAAACATAAGTTAGGAACCATTTGCATCACAAATAGTCCACAACAAGCCAAATATTCATGAAAAAGTTACACCACTCATCACATTTCATATAGGTCAGCCCAGCTATTGGATATTGTACATAAATTTAAGGCTTTCCAGTCACAACTCCACAACGACATAGTTCCCTAATGGCATCCAAGTATGAACTTAGACCAAGATGCACACAATGCCACCGTGGCAATACATTTTACTGAATTAGATGTTACTCCCTTCACACAATGCCACCGTGGCAATACATTTTACTGAATTAGATGTTACTCCCTTCATCCCAAATTATAAGTCATTCCAAGAATCTTGGAGAGTCGAAGCATCTCAAGTTTGACCAAATTTATATGATAAGATAATAACATTTATGATGCCAACTAAGTATCATTAGATTCTTCCTTAATTATATTTTCATAGTATGACTATTTGATGTTACAAATCTTAGTATTTCTCTCTATAATTTTGGTCAGACTTGAAATGCTTTGACTCTCCAAGATTCTTGGAATGACTTATAATTTGGAATGGAGGGAGTACTTTTTTATGTCTAGTTTCAAGATCTGAAACAAGTACCATAAATGTGAGATATGGGCAACTGAATTATATAATTGCCCATACATGTCAAGAGGAGAGGAACTTCAGGCCCTAAATGTCGCTCCCATTCCTATACCTTATCCTATCTGCGCTAGGCCAGAAAGCAGTATAACAGCTAAAAACAATGTTCCATACTTCCATTTACGGGCTATTTGGACAAGAATTTGGCACTCCCAAGTCCCAACTATTGGAACAGTTTGATTCCACTACAAGAACTGAACAGAAGCCATCAGTCTTGACAAAAGGATTGCCTGAACACAACAGGTGCTCGATTTACCATTGCCTTATCCGTGTTTTGGTTCTACTAGTAGAGCAAAGGGGAAGGGGGCAGATAAAGGCGAAAATTCTGGTACATATCACCATACCTGCACCTTTGACAAGTTGGTACGAGTCCTGGAGGAACGTGAGGTCAACATGGTTGGATATGTACCGAGACAATTAGGTCACGGCATGGGCACAAAATTTCCAAAGGAAGTACTGGATAACTGTATCTTGGCGGCAGCTGGCGGTTGAAAAGTGGGCAGAAATATTAGGCAGGCCAGGAAACTCTACAAAACAAAATGCTCGTTTCCAATTCCCTGGTGTTAGATTTTTCTCAGAAGCAGCCAACCAGGGAAAGTGTGGTTGGCAGCCTTCGGTCAGCTTCAAAATGAGACCAACTGCCTCTTGTGACGTCTAAACCCGCCGTTTTCTTAGCCTTTTTTTCGTGTTGCCATTTTCCAAGAAATTTATACCACACCACAGACCAGGAAACCCCAGATTGGTTGATGGGTCATCGGAATAAAATCGCTGTGCTACCAGCAAATACTCTGCGATCGCTGAGCGTCTAAAAAAGCAACAGGGTACCTTACTGCTAGGTGATGATGACACCGGTTCGAAATTGGATGCGTTGTTATCCTATCAAGCAGGTTCCTCAGAATATGATTGCGAATCCTTACTCACTAGGTTCCTAACAAAAATGAAGGAGCTGTCTTCAGTTTGCATCATGGTAAAACTAAACAGATAGGCTGACGATCCTAGGATTGAACATAGATTTTTCAACCGATTCTTTTTTTAATGGTATAAACAAAAAAAAAGTCATCACGTTAATAAGCCGCCACCACTAAAAAAAATAGAAGAGGGTTATAGCAAAATCAGTTCCTTAGGTGCGGATTTTATAAAATTGTAAATTGGTCGATGCTGCGAAGAGACGA